AACCAGTGAAGAAAAAAATGATGTAAGAAAACAACTGAATTTGGGAAGAAGGGACAGTGAACAGATAGAAAAAGACCACAGTAAAATAGAAGAAAGTGATTTTCTATGCTGCCAACTCCAGTGAGTATAATGACATTAGTTACTCCGTCTTCTGACAAGAAAGACCAAGGGAAGGGGGAGGAGGGAGGGATTCACAGCATAAAATCTTCCTTAATTATCCTTTGCTTTTACAGAATTAAATGTGACCATAAATACTGACCACTTAACGGGTGTGAGGAATCTTTTTTCTGCCAAGGGCTATTTAGATATTTATAACATCATTCCAGGGCCATATAAAATTATCAACTTAAAAATCAGCCTGCTATATTGGGTCAAACATTTAATTAACTCACCCTTAATGCCTTGGCAGGGCCAGACCAATTGATTTTGGGGGCCTTATATGGCCCTCGGGCCAGACATTCCCTACCCCAGACTTACAACAAGAACTGAAATATTATACATTCTCCAACTTTTCTCTAGCCAGGAATAGGCTAAACTTGCCCCCAATGTTTAAGTCTCATTCTGGTCCTACTGAAGTCCCCCTCCTTCCCCTTCCCCTCCAATACTTCAACTTCTCAAAATGACATCATTTTCTTCCCTCCAATAAAGAGATGAACTCACATGGGACTCCAGAAGCACATAAATAACATAAAAGGCTTTAAAATAAATTTGCTTTAGAACTAAAGGCAGAAGTTTAAAAAAGGGAGAAAATTTTAAAAAATTCATTCCATTCATTTACATTTTCCTGATATAATCAATGAACATATCTTGAGCTCAGAATCACTAGGGCTGCATTTTGGAATTCTTCCATTCAATTAGCAAAACTGTTTTACTTGGGTAAGGGGGATTATTTCTAAAAGAATAACAAGACTATCACAATATTGAGTACACATTTTCTGCAAGACCTACCTTCTCACCACTTGAGTAGAAGAAATAACGCAATCGGACTATGTTACAGTGATCTAGCTTTCTCATGATTTGGAGCTCTCGGTTCTGAAAAGAAAATAGAAAAAAATATTTTTTAAAGGATAACCGCTATTCATCATATTGACTAACATTTCTGAAATAACAAACATTACAAACAGTAGGCTATAAATATTTTACCAAAAAGTATGGTCTATAGATCAGTCTGACCTGTAAAGTATTTGTTACCAGTCCATGAACTATTTACTACTGCTCTGCAAATGAAATTAAAAGTTTAAAATCTTTTATAGTAATTTGACAGAATAATTTGTATTAATGAATCTTATAATAAAAAGTGGGGTCTATATTCTGTATTTCTTAAAATTTCATTTTTGTAGTAATTCATTTGTATTGTATTTTACAAAAATATCAGTCCTCAATGAACTGAAAATTTTAAAAACTGGTACTTTACCACAAAAAGCTTGAAAAGCACTGGTCTCTAATATATATATAAGAGATATCTGAAATGAGTTATTACTGCTGTAATTTTTATAACTATAATAAAAATCAAGCATCACAACAAACAAATAAATTTGGGTGCAAAGAAAACTCTTACAATCCCTACTATTTTCTAAGATACAGTGAAAAATCTGAGAATTAACCCCATTAGAAAGGTTTATTTGCTAAGTTTTAGAGAGTTAAAATATGATATACTAGATACTTACTGTACAGTACTGATAAATTTATAGACCACATAAGTAATTTTCCCTTTGGGAAATTTCAAAGTTATGCTCATTCTTCATGGAAAGAAAACATGAAATAATATGATGACTTCCTAACACCATAAATTTTGCAGTATTAATCTGAAGAGTACATATTAACAATGTACTTGGGCTGTCAGAATCTATAATAATAAAAGGGAAATATGCTAATTAGACCAGGTCGACTGGACATCTTCTGGTCGTCTGGTCCTCCTTCCTGACAAAGCCACAGTGGCGGGGGCCGAGGCAGAAGCGGTTAGGGGTGATCAGGCCGGCAGGGGAGGGCAGTTAGGGGCGATCAGGCCGGCAGGGAAGGGCGGTTAGGGGTGATCAGGCTGGTAGGCAGAGTGGCTCGGGGCAATTAGGCAGACGAGCAGTTAGGAGCCAGCTGTCCTGGATTGTGAGAGGGATGTCTCCCAGATTGGAGAGAGTGCAGGCCAGGCTGAGAAGACGCCCCCCCCCCCCATGCACGAATTTTGTGTACCGGGCCTCTAGTCAGTTAATAAAAACTAAATTACATAACAGAGAAAGAATACCAAAGTACCAGCTATGTAGACAGAAAATATAAAGTTTTCAGTTATAATAATGATTTAGAACAGAACATAAACATAAACTATACGCCTGGAAATCTGGAAGGGAAATGCTATTATGGTTAGGGGGAAAAGTCAAAAAAAGAGAAGTGGGAGAGGACGAGCTGAATAAGCAGAACTGTCCTAGAGCAGAGTGGGCTCCAGTTCTTAGAAGGTGGTAGCAGAAAGAAGTGAATGTTCCTCCTCTCTAGAGACTTCCAATAAGTTATTCTGATTGTTCTCTCAAGGAAACAGGAAACTCAAGAAGACTCTTCTGTCCCTTTAAACTGACTATTAGAGCTGGGTTTATGTGTACAGCGATATTTAAAATTCTTTTATAAGACATCAATCATTCATATCATTACTTCTTATAAAACATTTATAGCTGAAGCAATAATCAAACTTAGTACAGTGTAACTGCTTTAACAAAGATAATGACTAAAGTCAGACTCTTTTGACTGTTTCAGAGGATACAGAAAACTTTACCAATTTCAAAATTGTGTCCATTTCCATTCCAAATGGAAGCTATTTCTGAAAGTATATCTATACTTTGCTAATTCGCATCTAGGTACATAGTTTTGTGGGAGAACTGCAAGTAGGCTAAGTTTCACTCCTCTCATTATATACGGATGCAAAGGTTGACATTTTTTTAAAACATAGCCAACCAACTATGTTAAAGTAAGCTATTTATTTTTCCACACTCATTAGCCAATGTCACAGAGAACTATTAAATGTCCAGATAACATAAGTTGTATACAAATAATATATAAGTGAAGCAAATACATGGACCTAAATATTCACCTACCCTTATTCTTCTGTTCATATTCTATTCTTTTAAAAAGGAGGCTTACATTTTCTCATTTTAAAATTCCCTAAAAGATCCAAAACATAAAATTCATAGAGGAATATTTATAGGTATATTAATCAACCCAATATTAGGCAAACAAAGTTCATGCCTAAAATGTATTTAAATATACAACTATGCCAAGCGTAGCCACTTTTACAGAATCATTCTTTATTAGTTCACTAAGGACATACGGATTCTATAGAAAACACTGTTATTCTACAAATATAGTGCACCTATTCTGTGTCAGGCATCATTCACAATATAAAGTGAACAAGACTAACAAAGTTCCTGCCCTCATCAAACTTACTACAGTCTATGGAGGACAGGAAGACATAAACAATATATTTTCACTTAAAAAAGGACAGAGAATAATAGAAAAAAGGAAGTCAGAGCAGACCTCAAAAATGAGATAAAATCTGAACACAAATCTGAATGATATGAAGATGAGAACCATGTGAAGATATAAGAGAAGAGCATTGCACTGCAGTTATAGGAAACTCCAAATGTAAATACCTAGAGGTGGGCTTTGGCATATTTAAAAAAAAAAATTGCTTGAAAGGTAATGTAGCATGTTAAGTAAAGGGAGAAAGGTAGGAGATAAGTTCAGAGAAGTAGGCAAGGGGGTGGGATATGTCCTATAAACTCATAAACCATGATAAGAAACTAAATTTAAATTTCACACTAAATGTAAAGAAAAGCCAATGATGTTTTGACCAGGAAAATGTCATAATCTGATATATCTTTAATACTGAGACTGCATGTAGAAGCTGGGGCTGAAAATAGGCACCTGGGGGCCATCTGTTCTTCGGGGACATAAAGCAAGGGAATCCAATGGTATATCTATTACCTAGGAAGGAAGTTAGAAGAAGAAAAAAAGTCATAGGTATAAGGAGTAGTGTATCACATGAGTAGTCAATGAAGTAGAATGAAAAACAGAAGAACATGTTATCTTAGAAGCCAAGTAAAAAAAAAGAGTTTTCAGAAAAGGGGAGTAACCATTTACTATGTCAAAAGCTACTGAAATGTTAAGGTGAAAGCAGAAAACAGATTTGGATATGGCAAATGCAGGATGCCGGTGACTCTTACAAGAGTGATTTTGGTAAAATGGTTGTGACAAAAGCCTGACTACAGTGATTTAAAGTGGGACTGGGAGACAGGAGGAAAGGACTAACAAGTTACAAAGTTCAAAAAGAGGTGAGATTTCCAGCTATGGTTGAATGAAGAGATCTTCCCCCAAACACCTAAAAAAAGGACTACATTATAGAAAACAACAATTTCAGAGCTCTGGAAATCATCCAAATGCAACAAGTTGAGAAGCATTTATTCATGCAAAGCTGCTAGATGCTGGAATTAGACAGTGGGGGCCAGTAGCCTTCTTGCCAGGGAATATTACCACCCAGCTCAGACAATTTGGGTAGTTACTTTTACCACGGCAGGGTTGGCCATCAAAACCAGGAATTCTGCTTCTAGACAGGGCTATCATCACTTAAAACAGAGAGCAAAAACCCATTTCCAGTGGCAATGGCAGTAAAAATAGCAAATCTGACAGGAAACAAAGTAAAAAAAAGTCCACAGCTCTGCTACCCTTGAGGATGCAGTCTCAGCTGGGGAAAATGACAGACTGGCAGAACACTAAGAAATTGAACAGGGAGACCCTGGAAGTAAGAGAGACATAAAGGGGCTAAATAAGCTCTCCACATATCCCTGGCTCAGAAGCTGTACACACACAGGCAGGTGAGACCTACGAGGGCCTTGTAGAAAGCGGAGGTGGAACAACTGGAATTTTGAATGTACTTTGTAATGCATGTACAAGATCATCAAAAAATAGTGGAAGCTTTATGAACTCAAGATGTTTGAATACAATATCTAACCAATACCCAGCTGACCACTAAGCTATGCAGACAAAGAGTCAACCCCTAAGAAGGCTATAAAATAAAAATTAGAATAAAAATTTTAACACAGAATTCAGAGCCCTTGAACTGTGGAGGAGAAATACTATAGATTATATACAGGTAAGTCACAAAAATAAAGAAAAACCCTAGGAGGATTTTAAAAAATTCTACCAGAACTAACTGAACTGAGGGAAAGGATACCCAATTCTACGCTTCTCTAGACTTCCAAATAAGGGTAGGAAAATGCCCAAATCCAACCTCGTCTAGCTTTCCATGTGGAAGTAGGGAATTATAAAACTACAGACACCTTTAGCCTTTGTCTCACCTAATTGGGGGGGGGGGGGGGGGGTGAGGGACAAAAAATATGAGAAGCTCTTAGTTTTAAAACTGTAACACTTTTGAAGGGGGTTGAGGGGGGCAGGAAGAGATTAACCAAAGAACTTATATGCATACTAGAGGCCCGGTGCATGAAATTTGTGCACGGGGGGTGAGGGGGAAGGAGGGAGGGTCCCTCAACCCGACCTGCACCCTCTCCAATCTGGGACCCCTCGTGGGATGTCCAACTGTAAACCGGCAGTCGGACATCCCTTTCACAATCCGGGACCGCTAGCTCCTAACCACTTGTCTGCCTACCTGCCTGATCGCCCCTAACCACTTCTGCCTGCTAGCCTTATCGCCCCCTAGCCACGCCCCTGCCAGCCTGATTGACGCCTAATTGCTCCCCTGCTGGCCTGATCACCTCCAACTGCCCTCCCCTGCCGGCCTGATTGCCCCTAACTGCCCGCCCCCCCGCCAGCCTGATCACTCACAACTGCCTTCCCTTGCTGGCCTGATTGCCCACAACTGCCCTCCCCTGCCATGACTCATCTCCTCCACTGGGACCCGCCTTCTCCGTGCAAGGCAGCGGAGATGCCAGGACGGGCCTCCTCCACGCCACGCAGACCTCACCAGAGCGGCCACCGGGCCCCAACTCCACTGTGTGTGTGGCCATCTTGTGGCAGCCATCTTGTGACAACGTCAC